CTCTCCTGGTTGGTCGATGCTTACGCAGAGAGACTGACGTGAAGTGCAGTAAGAGCCAGAGTGATGTCAAATTATTGCCAGTCAACACCCACCCTTGTCGGATAACCCTTCTACTTAGTCAGAAGACGCGCGCACGCGCGTGTTCCTACACGAGAATCCTGAATTTTATTGGTGCACATGTTGCCACCATTGAGAAGGGGTTTTCCCGACGTCTAATTTCTTCATCAAAATGCTGCGCGTACACACAATCAAACTGCTATTCACAAGACTAACACCAAAATATCAATTATCCTGGACTACGAGATAGGGGTGAATTTCGTGGAATTGGAAACAGGCATTAATTTCACCATGCTTTCTACCGTAAATGATACAGATGCTTGAGTACTTTCGCTCCTAGTCATTATGTTAGAATTGCATTTGCGACATTTTAAGATAACTGCTGACGCCTTGAGGCATTGAGAGCAAGTGTGAAGTTAGCCGTTGTATGTAGTTTTATAGGCAACGACGAGGTCACTACAGGCGAATCACACTGTCTGGGGAACATCAACACCACTCAGCATCGGCAATGATGACGTTGGATTCTGTTGCCATTTGTGCGACTCCAATGTTTAGGCGATTTAATCGCTGAGTGCCATGTCTTTTAGACCTTCGAGAATAACACGACATGGCAGTTCAGACGTTACATCATTTGGCCACAGGTAGCCAGCCTTGTTGTCTCCACAACGGGTGTCACTATCATTGGCATTCCCATTATTTTATTGACGTCTTCAAATCCCTTCTCCTAAAATCAGCCCAACGAATGTCCAGATGACCTTAGTAACCCTGTAAACTCTTAATATTTCTGACCATGAGACTACAATGGCTCACGCGCTTAAACAGGCTGCATTTCTACCAAGTTTGTGCAGTCAAGTCAAGACTTATCAGATCGTAGGGCATTCATCACAGAACAATAGCATCTGATGGCTTGTGCCACTCTGCCAAAGGCATCTCATGCCCATAAAGCCTACAAGTGTTTGCGTGGAGACCATTAGCTCGGAATTGGGTATAAGATGAATATATCCACTCACTCACCCACCCACCCTCATTGTAAGCAGCATTATAACTAATAAAAGCAGAATTAACTGACAACTTATTCATGACACATCGTCATGTTTGGTTAGTAAAAGCACTAAGCACTCTAACGCATATCACTTGACTTTGTGTGCTTAGCCATGTAAACCTCCAAAAGAATGTCAAGAAACACATTCTAATAGTGTTACAATCACTGGTTTGTGTGGTATGCAATTGAGTAGTGCAAGCCAGTGGATTATTTTATGGCAGTCGCTTAAATGGTGTATACTGCATCCTCTCCAAGTGACAGCTAAGGGATTTCAGGGTGTAGATAAAACTCTGTGAAAATTTTATAACGTCAAGCGCAAAAAACATCAAGCACATGGGTACCAGTGATCTTCCTGCATCATACGGAGAGATGTCTCGAGAGACAATTAATCTCTGCACACGATTAATTTTTTTTTTCACATTACTTTGCGAATAATTGACAGATGCAAGGACAAACGCGCAATTGCCAGATAAGACGAGGCTTCAGTAGATGACGTTCGCTTTTTTTGCAAATCCACTTATATTATCCCCAAATCTTTATTTTTATTTTTCACCAAGTGGAATAAAACGCACGCGCGTGTTCCTACACGAGAATCCTGAATTTTATTGGTGCACATGTTGCCACCATTGAGAAGGGGTTTTCCCGACGTCTAATTTCTTCATCAAAATGCTGCGCGTACACACAATCAAACTGCTATTCACAAGACTAACACCAAAATATCAATTATCCTGGACTACGAGATAGGGGTGAATTTCGTGGAATTGGAAACAGGCATTAATTTCACCATGCTTTCTACCGTAAATGATACAGATGCTTGAGTACTTTCGCTCCTAGTCATTATGTTAGAATTGCATTTGCGACATTTTAAGATAACTGCTGACGCCTTGAGGCATTGAGAGCAAGTGTGAAGTTAGCCGTTGTATGTAGTTTTATAGGCAACGACGAGGTCACTACAGGCGAATCACACTGTCTGGGGAACATCAACACCACTCAGCATCGGCAATGATGACGTTGGATTCTGTTGCCATTTGTGCGACTCCAATGTTTAGGCGATTTAATCGCTGAGTGCCATGTCTTTTAGACCTTCGAGAATAACACGACATGGCAGTTCAGACGTTACATCATTTGGCCACAGGTAGCCAGCCTTGTTGTCTCCACAACGGGTGTCACTATCATTGGCATTCCCATTATTTTATTGACGTCTTCAAATCCCTTCTCCTAAAATCAGCCCAACGAATGTCCAGATGACCTTAGTAACCCTGTAAACTCTTAATATTTCTGACCATGAGACTACAATGGCTCACGCGCTTAAACAGGCTGCATTTCTACCAAGTTTGTGCAGTCAAGTCAAGACTTATCAGATCGTAGGGCATTCATCACAGAACAATAGCATCTGATGGCTTGTGCCACTCTGCCAAAGGCATCTCATGCCCATAAAGCCTACAAGTGTTTGCGTGGAGACCATTAGCTCGGAATTGGGTATAAGATGAATATATCCACTCACTCACCCACCCACCCTCATTGTAAGCAGCATTATAACTAATAAAAGCAGAATTAACTGACAACTTATTCATGACACATCGTCATGTTTGGTTAGTAAAAGCACTAAGCACTCTAACGCATATCACTTGACTTTGTGTGCTTAGCCATGTAAACCTCCAAAAGAATGTCAAGAAACACATTCTAATAGTGTTACAATCACTGGTTTGTGTGGTATGCAATTGAGTAGTGCAAGCCAGTGGATTATTTTATGGCAGTCGCTTAAATGGTGTATACTGCATCCTCTCCAAGTGACAGCTAAGGGATTTCAGGGTGTAGATAAAACTCTGTGAAAATTTTATAACGTCAAGCGCAAAAAACATCAAGCACATGGGTACCAGTGATCTTCCTGCATCATACGGAGAGATGTCTCGAGAGACAATTAATCTCTGCACACGATTAATTTTTTTTTTCACATTACTTTGCGAATAATTGACAGATGCAAGGACAAACGCGCAATTGCCAGATAAGACGAGGCTTCAGTAGATGACGTTCGCTTTTTTTGCAAATCCACTTATATTATCCCCAAATCTTTATTTTTATTTTTCACCAAGTGGAATAAAA